CAATGCAGAAAGACTTTACAAAGCAATTTTGCTGTTAGTATCTATATAATTTAAAAAATGTGACATTTAAGCTCTTTATAAGAATATTTATTATGTATCTTATTCTATGATTAAAATGGATAATAAATGTTACTGAAGAATCTATGATCTGATGGGAGCAAAAGTGGGGGTGGTTGGCGAGGTGAGGGAGGTGACACTACGAGTTACTACAAGGGGTGACCCGAAGCCTAATAACACTACTATTCACGGAAGCTACATCAGTCTCTTACTCGCAGTTGGGGAGTCTATCAAGCTCCCCTTTATTGTTTCTCTTTCAATTCACCCTCAAGCCTTTTTAGCAACTGGCTTCCTGAGCCAATGATGAGGTGCATATCGATCGGAGGTCCTCTCTCTCCCCGCCTGTCTTTCTGGAGCAGACAGCCCAGGCTGCTTTCTAATCAGGACCTGAGTGGCCACTGGCTGCAGAGCAGGTGTACTAGTTAGGGCACAGACATGGTCATAAATCAAAACCTCTAAGCCGCTGCCTCCCTGGCCCTGCGAATATAAACAAGGCCCGGTGCTCAAGACTCATGTGGCTTTCTTTTTCTTTTTTTTAATGCTATTCTCCTTCTCCAAAGAAAAGTTGAGCTTGACTCTTCAACTCTGAAATGTTCTGCACTCAGTCAGGTCTTTTTTCTTTTGATCCCTACACCCTTCTTGATAAACCGTGCCTGTGACAAGTTTTGTGTTTGGTGGTGGTTTTTGTTTTGTTTTGTTTTACTGTAAGCTTTACATCTCCCTTAATAGCACTTAACTCATAAAAAGCACTTTTATCTACATCTTGCATTCAAAACCGAATAACCTTGGCATAGTTGCTTACACTTCAGCATCAGCAGCCAAGTATAGAAACAGGGTGGGGCGGGGTGAGAGAGAGAGAGACTGAAACACACAGAGAGAAATGGAAGTTGAGGGGGTTCTGTCCTTAGGCCCCCTCTTGTCCCAGTCACAATGTTGACAATGTCTCAGTAGTGGACTGAGCAGTGTCTTCACATGTGACTTCTTAGATGTACTGACTAATGAGTTTCTTCTCTACCACTCACTAGTAAGGTGGGGTTTTCTCAGTGTTCTATGTTTTAAAATTTGAATTTTTAACTCTCTCAGACTAAGTCCATGATCCAGGAGCTGAGGAATAATTAAGGCACAACCTAAGTATTAGTTACTTAAAAACAAATCCACACAAAGTGAAGTCGGTGTTGTTTGGGGGGAAATGGCCTGATAACAGGCATCCAAATAGGCTTTCACAGGCCAGGATCCTGTTGAGTTCTCCTGGGGCCTTTCTCTACACCTACACCTGGCAGGTGAGAACTGCTCTTGTGTTTTGGTTCAGTTTGTTTCAATTGCTTGGAACACTGATTACAGGGGTGAGAAAGCCTCCTTGGAATGCAGAGGCCAGAGGCCCTCAGAGGAACAAAGAAAAATGACCCTGTGTGAAAAAGGAGGGGCTGTGTGAAGAGCAACCCTTGGAATCACCACAGTAAACAAAGATTCTCAGCTTTGTATGAACAGATCATCGATTGGAAAACTAATATACTATGTAAACTTTCACCTGAAGTAATAAAATGCTTCAAATAAAAATCTGTTAATGATCCTCTCATGATGAGGTATGTTTGGTCTCAAGTCTCCTATGCTATAGATAATAAATAAAATTATCAATATTTTATTAAAATTATCAATATTATTTTTAATAAGAAATAAAATTATCAATATTTTATTGATAATGTAAGGTAACATGGTCGCTATGAGTCGCAGGCAACTCAACGGTACATAACAATAACAACAACAACAACAACAACAACAACATAATATGAATTACAGAGAATACCAAGATATAATCATTAGTGATGTTATACGACATTATTGGCACACTAATAAAATTCTTCAGTAAATATTGCTGAGCTAGAAGATTAACTTAACTTTGTACAAAATTTGAGTCTCTGACTCTAATTTGCTAATTGATGATTCTAAAGGTCCAACAAGATAGTCCTCACCACTGGGCTCAAATGTTTACAGGATCTAGTGTCCTGGACTTTTTGATTTGAAGTAGGCCTGGCCTTCTAACAATGGCGTTAATTTATTATTACTCCCCAGCCCAACAAATTAGGTGCAGTCAGATCCTAATAACAACTACAACAAATATCAGTATAGAAGAAGAAGAATTGATGTCTTTGAATTGTGTTGTTGGCAAAGAATATTGATTCCTTCGCGGACTGCCAACAGAACAGACTAATCTCTCTTAGAAGAAGAGCAGCCAGAATGCTCCTTAGATGCAAGCCTGGCTAGATGCATCTCGCATACTTTTAGCATGCTACCCGAAGGGGTCAATCCCTAGAAAAGGCCATAGTGCTTGGTAAGGAGTGGGTCAGCAAAAAAAGGGAAAGAGCCTCAAAGAGATCAACACAGTGGCTGCAACAATGGGCTTACACAAAGCAATGATGGTTAGGAATCAGGTAGGTTTTGTCCTCCTGTAAAAAAGGCTGTAAGAGCTGACTTGATGGCCCCCATTCACTGCAATGTATAGCTGTGAGGGAGAATCTCATCCTAGCATCTGTTCAGAATTTACTTCTTAGTTCTTAGAATAGCACTATTGCTGATTAAGAAGTAATCAAAAAACTTAATAGCTTAATACAATTATGTTATCTTTGTCCCTTTTTGGAGGATCAAGAACTTGGACGTAACCAAATGGAGAACATAGTCTTTGTTTCTTATGTTGTCAGTTGAAGTGTCCTATGGACTGGAGGATCCATCTCTAAGATCTCTCGTCCATAAGGTGCCCATTGTTGACCGGGAGTTCAGTAGACTGTTGTCCAATAATCTTTCTGGTTTGGTAGTATATGGGTCAGACTTCTTATATGAAAACTCACGTTTTTCTAGCGAGAAAGTGTCAAGGTTTAGCAGAGGAAAGCTGTTCTTAAGGCCTGGGCTCGGAAACTGCTACAGTCTCATGCACACTATACCCTCTTAATCAAAGCAGTTACAGAGAAAGGATCAAGAGAATCAAGGAGAGGGGACACAAACCCCACTTTTCTAGGCAAAGAATGTCACAGAACTGTGGCTATCTTTGGTTCACCATGAGAAAAAATTTTTGGTTGTCATTATAGAGAAAAGAGGAAGGGGAAAGAGACTTCAGGGCCTTGAAGATCATTAGGTTTGATCCTGAAGGTGGACACCTTATCCAGGACTACAATATTACATCCATTCATTCAGTTATCCAGTTAGTTCATCCATCTACCCGTCTGTTCACCACCATGGACTCATGCTATCATCAAACCCTGCCTGATCACCTTCCACGTACTAGAGATACATAGGTAAACAAGTTTAACCTAGTCTGCACCATTACAGAGCTTACTCTCACCCCCACCAGGTTTTCTTATCCTTATTACCTCCAGCAAACAATGAGATCTCCCTAGTCCTATCATCCTAGAGTAACACCCAGAAAAACTCAGTTAACCTTCTTCCACCACCTGGTTGTGATGATTTAAAAATTTGTTCCGATTAAAAAGAATACTTAGAGTTTAAATGTGAATAATCCAGCACACCTGCTATTGGAAAACTGTCAGTAACAGATCTGGTCATGTCCAATGTAGAGCAACAAAGTACTTCTTCCTCCTGACAAGGCAGGTCCTTTTCTGTAGCCTGGCTGACTGTGAGAACACCATTTTCCCAAGGTGGTCACTGATATTGTGGATGGCTGATACAAGAAAATTGTTCAACTAGTCACTTACATTTCATTCCATTTATCTTAACTCAGGTTATCTCTATCCAGGGCAGTTAGACTCAGCTTAACTCAGTTCACCCCCTTATCTATCCATTTAGAAATTATTTTGTGAGTTCTACTTTGTGTCAATTCTGTGTTCAGCCTGAGGCTTCATCTACCACTCAACTAATTTTCCCATTTCAATTCAGATGATAGCCACATATTATAGTAGAGAGAAAACTGGTTTGAGAGTGTAACTATCCTTTATGTTTGTGACTTAGTTCTGATACTTACTATCTCAAGCAATTTTTCTAACCTCTCTGAACTACAATCTATTTGGATAGTGGGGATAAGAAATGAGGGGTTTTGGTAATTTGATGGTTTTGCGTGTGTTTAGTTTGTAAAGATTAAGTTCATTGAAATTACTCCAAAAACGGTGTCTATCAAAGCTTCCCACTTTTTCTTAATTTTTCTCAACCTAAAGGGAAGAATAAGATAAGGGGGGGAGAGAAGGAACCAAAGCTTATGCTAAAGTCTTGACAACAGGTGAATTCACCTAGAAGGAGGAAACCCAGCACTGCAGTAGGGATCCCAGTCTGTGGGTTGCTGTCTCTGTTCTGTGATTTATCCTGTTCCTCTTTGAAAATTTGCTGCTGAATTCATTTTGGGAAATCACCTTGATAATTACTCAAGTAACTACTGATTCCCTGGGCTCAGTCTTATTCTAGAGTTCAGAATCAAGGCTTGGATGTTTGAGTACAGAGTATATCTTTGACAATTTGGGTACTATGTCTGCTACCATACACGCAGGAAGCAGATATGAAGAGTGGAGGGAATGGTGGCAGCCTATCCAGACCAGTCCAGCAGAACCTTGAGTGGAGTATGTAGTTAGGGACATCCTGTGGTATAGCTGGCAGAGGAACGTGAGGACAAGAAAACTATAAGCAGGAGGGCATCCAAACGTGGGAACACAGTCATGAAACTGAGACCACATCAGGGTGAGTTCTTGCCAATTGAAAACCACAGTTCTTCTGGCAACAATCAAGATTTTTGTCATTAAACATCAACTCACACACTGTAGGTATCAACTCTTAATGTCCAATGTTTTTCCATCCCCAGATTCCCTAGAGAAGTCATTCCATTCCTATCTTTCCCATTTTGAATCAGATCCAAGTCTCTATTTAAAAAACAAAACAAAACAACAAACCACCTTCTATCCCATTCAGTTGCTGCAGGGTAATCTTATGTGAATACTCTCTTTCCTTAGGTACTCGATGGTCTCAGAAGCAGAAACAGAAAGCATTTTTATGGAGCCCATTCACCTCTCTTCAGCCATTGCAGCCAAACAGATCATCAACGAAGGTAATATATATGGCATCTGGGTGGGAGATGAGTGAGCCTCATCACAGGGAAACCTTGTGAGGCCACTGGAAGGTGTAAACCTTCCTCTCAGGGACTGTGCATTACACTGAAAGAAGCAGGTTCAAAGAAGAAATTCTGCCAACCCCTCTTCCTCAGCACTAATAGAATAGAGGTGGAGATTACTATTTCCAATGTACAGCTAAGGAGAGCTCCAGGTGGCAGACTCTGCCCTCGAGAATCCTTATTTAATCTTCTGCATAATTTGAGAGATTTCAGGGAAGCTCATGATAGAGAAACAGACCTTAGAGACTCCAAAATGACTAGGGACCTCCAGAGAGTTCTGTTTGAAAGGAACCCCAGAATTAGATTTGTATGTTCCCATGTTGTTTAAAGATGGTTTCCAAATTGGAGTATGCATGGGGACGTGCTAAAGAAAAGTAGGGCAGAGAGAGATGTTCATTTTGACTTAGTAACTTTGATACACTAGATTACACTCAAAGATATTCAGCCTGACTAGATTAATCTAGTCAAATTTTGGCCAAAAATCTTTTGCGCTTTCTGTTGTTCCTCTTCCCTGGATGACCATATGACCATTTAGTACTTCTAGTCGAGTAGATAAGGTAGCAGTAGAACTGCTGATTGAGCAGGAGCCTCTTACTCTTTGGGCTTTCTCTGGTGTCCACTACGGCTACTCACAATACCTTTTCTGGCTTTAGTCCTAGAATTATACATACTGCTCCTTCTTTTCCCTAACTTTTGATGCCCTGGTTCTTTGGCTCCCCAACAGATACCCTTCTTTCCTCAAGGATACCTAAATATCCTGCGCACCTCACAGATGCAAGAAGTTCTTTCTATCTACTGTTATTTATTGCTTTCATCATCATCTTCTCCAAACCACTGTTTGGGGTTTACTTGTTTGGTTGGGTTTTTTGGGGGTAGTTCTTAGAAAAAGATATCAGGCTGGGAAAGGTGGAGGGTCAGGGAAAGAGAAGAAGAACCTCAACAACATGGATTGACAGTGACAGTTGCAATGGACTAGAGAACATAGCAGAGATCATGAAGATAGCACAGGATAGGGCAAGGTTCAGATCTGCTTCTGTTACTATTAGTTGTAGTCAACTCGATGACGCCTAACAATAACAACAACCACCTGCTCCTAATGATAGCTTGCTCCTAACCAAGTCACAATGCCAGGAACCCACATAGTATCTTCACCCTGGCCTAGTTCTCTCAGAATTGCTCCCTGCACTATGCCTGCCCTGGAAGATCTTTTCGTCCTCAGATGTACCCGAGACATTCACTTATTGTGTATTCTACGCCTTCCCGGCTCTGTGCTTCACTCTGCAGTGTACTCTCCAGCACTATGGGTATTGTTAAGTAAAAGCTCAGCATTGAAAGTGGTAAGAAAAATGGTTTCTGCTTTTGAAAGCTCTTTTTTAAGTTTATTGAATACTACCTGCAGACATTAAAAATCTAGTTTGAGAAAAAGCTGAGTAATACCTCCTTTATTCTAAATATTATATTTCAGTTTCTTCATCTAAAGCGTTGTGAATGAGGAAAATAATATGTTCCTGAGGAAATAAAGCATTAAAAATGTATTGCCCTGTTCACTAGTGAACATAGGGTAAAAATGTATACTAAAGAGCTTTCTGTTTTTATAAAAGTCTACACGTTGCCCATCCAAAGAGAGCAGGAAAGGGGTCATATTTAGCTTTACATTTCTTCTAAGGAAACAGCAGGTAATAGAAAAACTGGAGCAATGGGTACATCAGGACAGAAGTGGACTCTAAATAGGTCCCAGTGTGAGCAAAAGACCTATGGAAACCTGGAGTTGGTTCATGAGGAGGCTGGAACACTTATTTCTAAATTGAAAAAGAAGAAATCAAAACAACAATTTCCAAGGAAGGCAATGCATTGCATTTTCATGATGACCAGGGACGTTTCTTTTTCACATGCTGTAAAGGAAAGATTTAAGTAGAGGAAGGAAGAAGAGGGACTTTCACATTTGGTACTTAAGACATAGGAGAGCTGGAAGTGGAGTATAGAATAGTATAGCAGAATAGAGGATATTGGGGGATTTCTATTTTATTTTTTTAAAAGAGCTCTGAGATTGCAGAATATTTTCTTCTTTCTACTTTTGAAAGGGTGATCAGAGATCATTTAAGGCTGCAAGTTGAGGCTGAAGTAGTGAGGCATCCACCGGGTAGTTTAGAGGAGAATGAGAAAAGAGAAAAATGATAGAGAAATGCAGCCTTCAGCCTGGGCCAAAATGAGAATTCCCAATTCTTGAGCAAGCAGTCAGCCCAAACTTGCTGTCAAAAGGTCATTTTTTAAATATTGGACCAGCTCAATTTTCTAAACGCAGAGAGCTCTTCACAGAGTTCTCAGTTTACACACCAGACTTGTCAGAGACAAAGATGGTACTGGCAATAAATATGGTCAATACGAAGGTTAAACCTATCATACTTTGCTTCCTCTTCTCTTTTTTTAATTTTGTTCCTTTTATGTGTTTTCATTGTTACTATAGATGAATCCCACTGAATTTTGTGTATTTATCTTATATACCACCACTCTATTAAATTGGTCTATGAGGTCTAACAGGGTTTCCTTTTTGAGTCTTTCTTCTATGTACACTATTGTATTGTCTGCTTATAGCGATAGTTTTACCACCTCTTTGCCTATCTCGTTGCCTCTTATCTACATCTCTTTTCATATTGCCCTATTAAGTACTTCCAATACAGTATTTACTAGGAGTGGTGACAGTGGGCATCCTTGTTTGGTTCCTGTCCACCAGGGGAGAACCATTAGTCTTTCTCCGTTGAGATTGATGTTAGCTCTTGGTTTTGCACATACACTTTTCACTATGTTGAGGAAATACCCTTATATTCTTTTTTTTTTTTTAGTGTTTTAATCAAGTTAGATTTTGTCAAAGACCTTTTCTATGTCAATTGATAGGATTGTGTGGTTCTTATTCTTTTGTCTTTAAGGTGATCAATTATGTTGATTATTTTTCTTATGTTAAACCATCCTTGCATACCTGCTATTAATCCCACTTGGTCATGATTAATTATTTTCTTCATATACTTTTGGATTCTATAGGCCAGAATTTTGTTAAGGATTTTTTGCATCTATATTCGTGAGCAATATTGGTCTGCAGTTTCCCTTTTTGGTAATGTCTTTGCCTGGTTTTAGTATTAGGGTTAAGCTTGCTTCATAGAATGACTCTGGGAGTGTTCTTTGTTTTTCTATTTTTTAAAATAACTAAAGTAGAATTGATGATGCTTCGTCTCTCAGTATTTGGTAGATTTCAGCTGAGAAGCCATGATTTATTTTTTTGGGGGGAGAAGTCTTTTTATGACCTGCTCAATTTCTTCTTTTGTGATGGCTCTGTTCAAGTGTTTTACATCAATTGGCTTAGGTCAGAGTTTCAAGAAATTTGTCCATTTTTTCTAAGTTTTCAAATTTGTGAGAGTATAGCCTTTAATTCTATGATTGTCAATTTAAATTCAGCTAGATCTGTTGTGATGTCACCTCTTTAATTTCTTAATGGATTTATTTGTGTCTTCTCTTTATTTTCTTTCTTTAATTTTACCAATGGCTTGTCTATTTTATTGACCTTTTCAAAAAGCCAGCTCCTCATCTTGTTGATGGTTTTAGTTCTTTTTCTGTTTTCTGCTTTTGGTTTCAGCTCTTGGCCTTATAATTTCCTTTATTCTAGAGGCTATGGCTTAGATTGTTGTTCTTTTTCTGTTTGAAGACAGTGTTGAGTATTACTATGAAATGCTCCCTGAGAATTGCATTGCCTTAGCTGTATCACTGAGGTTTTGATATGTTGTATTTTCATTTGTTTTGAGGAAATTTTTTATGTTTTTTTCAATTTCTTCTATGCCAATAGTGTTATATCAGGGTGTTATTTAACTTCCATGTCAGTTGGGTTTTGTCCTTTAGCTTCTTGTTATTAATCTCTAGTTTCATGGCATAGTGGTATGAAAAGAGAATTATTAGTTTTTAATTATTTGAGGCTTGCTTTCTGTCTCAATATATGATCCATTCTGGAGAATGTACCATGTGCACTTGAAAAGAAAGTAAATTGACTTTTAGTTGGATGCATACCCTGAATACACTTACTAGTTTGAGTTGGCAAATTGTACAGTTTAGATCTTCTGCATCTTTATTAACTTTCTTTCAAGGTGATTTATCCTTTGGTAGTGTTGTATGCTAAAGTCTCCTACCACTGTTGTGTTACTGTCTATTTCTTTCTTCAAGTCTGTTAACTTGTTTTATGTATTTTGCTGGTCTATCATTTGGTGCATAGATGTTGACAAAGGTTATATCTTCTTTGTGCCTTTAATCTATTGTGTTTTTAATCCTTATATGGTGCCCTTCCTTATCTCTTGTGATAGTTTTCATCCTGAAGTCTATTTTATCAAAGTTTAGTATTTCCACTCCTCCTTTTTGGTGGATGCCATTTTCCGGGTACATATTTTTTACAGCCTTTGATTTTTATTCTATCTTTCCCTCATTTCTCAGATGTGTCTCTTGTATGGCAACATATTGAAGGGCGTTGGTTTTATGTCTGTCGTGGTACTAGGGATATTGTTGCTGATGTTAGATGGATCTTGGCTGAAAGCAAGGAATACCAGAAGAATGTCTATCTGTGTTTCATTGATTATGCAAAGGCGTTTGACTGTGTGGATCATAACAAACTGTGGCTGACTCTGAGAAGAACGGGAATCCCAGAACATTTAATCGTGCAAATGCGAAACCTATACTTGGACCAAGAGGCAATCGTCAGAACAGAACAGGGCAACACTGCATGGTTCAAAATTGGGAAGGGTGTACGCCAGGGATGTGTCCTGTCTCCATACCTTTTCAACCTGTATGCAGAGCAGATTATCTGAGAGGCGGGGCTCTATGAGGAGAGGCGTGGCGTTAGGATTGGTGGACGATCTATCAACAATCTGCGTTATGCAGATGACACAACCTTGCTCGCTGAAACTGAGGAGGACCTCATGCACTTACTGCAGAGGGTCAAGGACTGCAGCCTTCAATATGGACTGAGGCTCAATGTCAAGAAGAAAAAAATTCTCACCACTGGACCAAGCGGTAGCATCAGGATGGATGGCGAAGAGATTGAGATCGTTCACAGCTTCAGTTTGCTCGGCTCCACGGTCAACACTCTTGGCACCAGTAGCCAGGAAATCAAAAAAACGTATTGCGATGGGAAAGTCTGCGGTTAGGGACCTCTCCAAAATACTCAAGAGCAACAGTGTCTCTCTGGAGACTAAGGTCCGCCTGATACAGGCCATGGTTTTTGCAATCACTTGTTAATGCAGCAGAGAGTTGGACAATGACTAGGGAGGGATAGAAGGAGAATTGATGCCTTTGAGCTGTGGTGCTGGAGAAGAGTATTGAATGTACCATGGACTGCCAAGAAAACAAACAGATTCATCGTAGAGAGGATTAAACCAGGCTGCTCCTTGGAGGCAAGGATTCTGGGGCTTCGTCTGACATAATTTGGACATGTTGTAAGGAGAGACAGGTCTTTAGAGAGGGACATCATGCTGGGTAGAGTAGAGGGACAGCGCAGGAGGGGAAGACCTCTATGAGGTGGATTGATTCAGTGACTGGGGTACTCGGGATGGGTGTGTCAGAGGCAATGAGATTGGCACAGGATAAAGCACGGTTTAGGGCTGTTGTACATGGGGTTGCTATGAGCCGCAAACGACTCGACGGCACGTAACAACAACAACAACAACTACCCTTTTCCTCTTAAATGTAATGGGGTTTATTGCTGCCATTTTGCTGTTTGGTTTTTGGGTCCTGTCCCCCCCCCCGCCCCCCTCCCCCGCCGTTGTTTCTGGTTACTATGGATCATCCAGTTTTTTCCTTTGGTGTCTCTGTGTGACGGACTTTCCACCGAATTTCTTGTAGATTTGATCTTGCTTTCACAAATTCCTTAAGCTTTTACTTTTCTTCAAATGGCCTCATTTCTCCTTTTATTTTGATGGATAACTTTGCTGGGTACAGGATCCTTGGTTGGTTTTTTTGTGTTGTTGTTTTTTTCTTTCAGCCTTCTGTATATGCCAAATCATTTTCGTCTTGCTTGCATAGAAATCATAATTTAATTGATTTTTTTTTGTTAAGTGACTCTGTTTTTCTTGACCTGCTTGTAGTATTCTTCTATCTTTATCTTTGATTTTAAAGAATTTGACTATGATATATCTTGATGTTTTCCTTTTGGAGTCTATGCTGTTTGGGATTCACTGAGCTTCTTGAAAGTAGATTTCTTCATTCTTCATAATATCTGGGAAGTTTACTTCTAGTACCTCTTACAAAGTTTTCGTGTTGTTTTCCCTGTCCCCATGATGTTCTGGGATTCTGATCATATGTATGTTGTTCCTTTTTATATTATCCAGGTGATTCTAACATTTTATTCATTTTCCTTCCACTCCTCTATGGGTCGCCCCCACCCCCAATATGTTCCTATTGGAGTTCTTGTCTTCCAGCTCACTGACTCTTTGTTCCGTCTTTTCTGTTCTGCTTTTTTCTGTCCCTCCAGCATATTGGGAACTTCTGTAATTTAGGTTTTTTTTATATTCTGGATTGCATTTACATGCATTTTTGTCGTTTCCAGTAATGTGTTGGCTGTATTCTCTTGATCTTATGATGATTTTTAAAATTCATATGTCTCTGTATTTATTGTTTCAAATCTATCTTACACCTTTTGTAATTCCTTCAGTAGTTGTTGATGCTCCTCCACATCAATATTTCTTCTGGCTCCCCATCTTTGGAGTATTCACTTTCTTTACAGCTTTCATTCTTCCTTCCATCATTTGTACCTTCTTCAGTAGCGTTTATATAACTCCATGTCAATATATTTATTCTATCTCTAGGTCTCTGGGATATTTATCAGATCTGCAATATATTTTTCTTTTTTTAAGAGAAGTCTTGTTTTTGTTTTTTCACAATGTTTGAAACAGCCTGCTGCTTTATTGACAGTATGTGACGTTTTCTTGATATGTGTTAGGCTGTTTCTGTTGTGTCTGTGTAGGTTGTTGAAAGTTCTTTATCTTTATGAAGCTATTAATTCGTTATAGGCTTAAAGTTTTCTCTTTATGGGCAAGGGCAATTCACTCTACTGGGGGTCCTTTCAGGTACTATAAAGTTGGAAAATTTTCCTTTCGTAAAGTCCTTTAAGTCTTCTCTACTCTGTAGTTCAGATCTGTAGGAATTTTACTTGAGTGTGGTCCATCTCTTCTAAAGTCTGTTATTGTCTTAGGTGGTCAGCAGTATGATCAGGCTCCCCAGCTGATGCAGTTTCACTTCAGGGGAGGCACAGACAGGCTCTTCCCAGAACCTCCATGTGCTCTCTTTAGTCACGTGCAGCCTGTAGTCTCTCACATGAATGTGGGCTACCTCTCCTAGAGTCTATTACTGTCCTTGGTGGTCCGCAGCAGAGTGTGTGACCAGCTTCCTCAACTGATAAAATTGTAAATATATTTATTCCCTATTTTTCATTACCAAATAGCAGTAAAACTTTATTTCCCCTTATTTTTATCTGAATGGAGCCTTACTGGTTTAGTAGGTTGGGGTTGTGTTGCCAAAAATGAAGCACTTATATCCATCAACTACTCTGACAAAGTCTCATACGACTTGGTACTCTGATGTCCTAGTGGGTAATAAGTTCTTCTGCCAACCCAAAGGCACACAGTGCAAATCCACCAGCCACTCCTCAGGAAATAAATGGGGAATCTCCTCGCATATGACTTACAGCCTCTGAAAATCAGCTGGAAGGTCAACTGTGAGTTTATATTCATTTAATGGCACATACCAACAACACAATATTTTTAGTCTACCTATTTATAGAAGCAAAACATCTTTCCTCTGATGCCTTATAAATTTTAAGCAAATATATTAGGAAGATAAGGGGGGAAAGTTCACCTTAGAAATGTGCTGGAATTCATTTGGAAGTTGATCTACCTGTTGTGTTATACAAAAAAGGCCTGAGTCCTGTTTTAAAACTGCCACTGGAGCTCAGGTCAAACTTTTGCCACCTGTCTGAGAACATATAGGCTGAGAATGATAGGGTTAACAACCCAATGGAAGCATTATGCAATAAGTAAAATAATTTAAAAGGAGATGTGGCTTTAGTGACTACTAAATTTTTCACTTTCCCCAGGATTATTTGAATTTCATTTGTAGAGTGAATCATGTTCTGAAAAAGATCTTTTATCCATTCAGTAAATATGTCTAAGCATCCACTTTATAGAAGGCACTGTGAGGATTGTAAGTATGATAGACAAATAGTCTAGAAAGGAATATGGGGTGGGAGACAAGGAAACACTCCTATTTGCCTGCATCTATATATACAACTGCTAACCCTGATTATACGTGTCCTGTGCGATGAGTCCTCTGGACCTACATTTAGCCTCTCCTCGCAGCTATAGTTGGTATTTCAGCCTCTGTCCAAGCAGCAAACAGTCAAGAGTTGTTCTCCCAGATTGATGAGAAGTCGTGGTATTCCTAATCCTCCCCTTGAGGATGCTGCCTGTCTCTTCTAGAACTCAAGCCCCGAGGGGTCAGAGCAGACATCGAATGCCCAGGCATGCTGGAGTCAGCCGAGCAGCTTCTGGTGGAGGACCTGTACAACCGGGTCAGGGAGAAGATGGACGACACCAGCCTGTACAACACCCCTTGCATCCTGGATCTGCAGCGGGCCCTGGTCCAGGACCGGCATGAGGCACCCTGGAATGAGGTGGATGAAGTCTGGCCTAACATCTTCATAGCTGAGAAGTAAGTCTGACTCCTGGGGGGTCAGAATGCTTTGGCCCATCCCTTTGGTAGTTGCCGGTAAGAGATGAAACTCCCCCAACTTTCACCCAGAGCCCCATAGCTCTGTCCAACAATTTGTTTCATTTTTATTTCTGTTAATTTTATTGTCTTTTGAATGAGAGTTAACAAAATAAATTGGTTTTTCATTCAAACAGTCATACACAATATGTTTTATCACATTCATTATAATGTCCACAATGTAATGACACTTTCCTCTTTGCCTCTCCATTATTAAAATCTTCATTAATTCTTCTGTCCTCTTATTTCCTCTCTTTGAAGCTAGCTTACCAAAATGGCTTGGAAAATATGCAACCAGAGTGCTCTTTGGAGGCAAAGATGACAAAATTTCACCTTTCATACTTTTGACATGTAGCTAAGTGAGACTTTTCCTTGGAAAGGGGCATCATGCTTAGAAACATGGAGGGTCAGCAAAGAAGAGGAAGATCACCAATGAGGTGGACTGACATGGTGACTTCAATAATGGATTCTAGTGTGTCAGAGATGATGAGGATGGCACAGGACAGGGCAAGGTTCAGGTTGGTTGTTCACAGAGTCACTATGAGTCATACTTGACTCAACAACACCTAACAACAACAACCACCACTGATACAGCCCTGCCCTTGGGGTAACCCTGGCCTTCTGGTCACTTACATACTAAGAACAGTAGGCAAAAAGTTGGCTACTTATCCTCTGCCCTCTTGCTATAGTCAGAGTTATGTCCAGATCTGGCTCTAGGCCTTCCTTACTGTCACCAAGTCTAGCCAATAAATTCCGAGCTATCCACACTGTCCCCTGACGTCTATAACTATTCTGCAAAAGGACACTTAGAACCACCAGCAATGCTTATCTGAAAATGTATTAGCACATGAATATGTTCACAATTCAGCATAAGGAATATAAAGACACCAAAGACTATATATACAGTACTTATCCTTTTGTGACTGAGTTAAAGAATTCCCATATAGAAATAGGTAAAGGGAGGTCATGATCAGACATTGGGTGTATTGCAGTTAACAATCTGCAATAGGATACACAGTATGAATTGAATTGAGGGGGAGGAAGAAAAGGAAAAAAGTTTTAAAAAATACTAATAAACAGAAAGTGGGTGGAAGAAATAGCAATATACAATAAGTGTTTGCTTAGATATTATAAAAAGTTAATTGCATCAATCAATGCTAATAAATGCCTGTGAATGATTGGAAAAGATCTATGCGATTTGTAAACTTTTGCTCAAATAAAATATATTTTTTTAAAAAGGAATATATACACAGCATGCTGATAATTTGGTACCTAATAATAACAGCATATAGAAATGCATGCACATTCTTTTGGGAAGGGGATGTTCTCTAGACTTCTATAAGCATGAATTATTTTCATTATTAGAAAATAAAAATATCATTTAAAAATAAAATACCCAACACCAACCATCTCATCAGTTTAGCAATGAAGTATAGGACAAAGCTAAACCCAGTCAAAAGCTCTCCAGATTCCTTCAAGGCCTTATATTTATGAGTAATTACATCATTGGTACTAATAAATTAATCAGTGAAGCCAATTTTTACTCATACATTGACTACTTAATGAGAGTTTTCCTCCATCTAATTACCCATATATACAGAAAAGAAGAAGCACCCATGGTAGAAAAGAGGTGAAATAATTACGGACATCGAGTCTTGTACTCATGGAATAATCCAGAACCCAAATCCCAGAGCTGGACCTCAGTCCTCAGTGACCCATAGATAGATCTGTATGTCCAAAACCATTCAGGTCTGTGGCCATGAGGACTTCAGTCCCCTCCAACTATTCCCAACTAAAGGCCTCTCTACTCTCTTTTGGACAAACCTGTATACAGGGCCTCTTGAGCTAAGCTCCACTTATATGGCTGCAGCAGAAAAGGATGCTGGACTAGGAACCAAAAATGCTGGTTCTTGTTTAGTCTTCTTCTTTCATAGTATTGAGGGTTATATAATCACTGTTGGATTCATTTTTACTATTTTCAAATGGGAGTAAAAATAGTTGGACTATCTACCTCAAGTTTATTATTAGGATGAAACTTTTTTAAAAGTTCCCATAAATATCCTTTGAAAAATATAGCATGCATATCAATATATAAAGTTGTTATTGTTGTTGTTGTTGTTATGTGCCGTCGAGTTGTTTGTGACTCATAGCGACCCTATACAACAGCCCTAACCTCTGCTCTGTCCTGTGCCAATCGCACTGTCTCTGACACTCCCATCCCAATTATCCCAGTCACTGAATCAATCCACCTCATACAGGGCCTTCCCCTCCTCCACTGTCCCTCCACCCTCCCAAGCATGATGTCCTTCTCCAAGGACTGGTCTTTCCTCAACAACACGTCCAAAGTATGTTAGACGGAGCCTCAGAATCCTTGCCTCCAAGGAGCCACCCAGTTTAACCCTTTCCAGGACAAATCTGTTTGTTTTCTTAGCAGTCCATGGTATTCTCAATACTCTTCTCCAGCAACACAGCTCAAAGGCATCAATTCCCCTTCTATCCTCCTTGGTCACTGTCCAACTCTCTGATGCATAACAAGTGATTGTGAAGATCATGGCCTGTATCAAACGCACCTTAGTCTCCAGAGAGACACCATTGCTCTTCAGTACTTTGGAGAGGTCCCTAACAGCAGACTTTCCCATGGCAATGCGCCTTTTAATTGCATGGCTACTAGTGTCAAGAGTGTTGACTGTGGAGCCAAGCAAACTAAAGCTGTGTACAATCTCAATCTCTTCACCACCCATCCTGATGCTGCCAATTGATCCAGTGGTGAGAATCTTTGTCTTCTTGACATTGAGCCTCAATCCATATTGGAGGCTGCAGTCCTTGACACTCTGCAGCAGGTGCTTCAGGTCCTCTTCAGTTTCAGCAAGCAGGGTTGTGTCATCTGCATAATGCAGATTGTTGATAAATCGTCCACCAATCTTGACCCCACATTTCTCCTCACAGAGCCCAGCCTCCCGGATAATCTGTTCTGCATATAGGTTGAAAAGGTATGGAGATAGGATGCATCCCTGGCGTACACCCTTCCCAATTTTGAACCATGCAGTGTTCCCTTGGTTTGCTCTGATGACCGCCTCCTGGTCCAAGTATAGGTTTCGCATTAGCACAATCAAGTGTTCTGGGATTCCCATTCTTCTCAGAGTCAGCCACAGTTTTTTATGATCTACACAGTCAAATGCCTTTGCATAGTCAATGAAACACAGATAGACATTCCTCTGGTATTCCCTGCTTTCAGCTAAGATCCATCTAACATCAGCTACAATATCCCTAGTACCACGACCCCTTCTAAACCCAGCCTGGACTTCTGGTAGTTCTCTGTTGATGTGCAGTTCCAGTCATTTTTGGATAATCGTCAGTAAAATCTTATTTGCATGTGAAATCAGTGAGATTGTTCTATAGTTTCCACACTCTGTTGGGTCACCTTTCTTTGGGATAGGAACAAATATAGATCTCTTCCAGTCAGTTGGCCAAGTGGAAAACAACTGGTTGTTCTCCAGATTTCTTGACACAACTTGGTGAGCACATCCAGGGCAGCATCTGTTAGCTGAAATATGTCAATTGGTATACCATCTATTCCTGGGGCCTTATTTTTTGCCATTTCCTTCAAAGCAGCCTGAACTTCTTCTTTCATCACCATAGGCTATTGTTCATATGTTGTTTCATGAAATTCTTCTGTGTCTGCCAATTCCTTTCGATACAGTGACTCAGTATATTCTTTCCATCTTCTTTTAATACTTCCTGGATCATTTAACATTCTGCAGAAAGCATCCTTGATTATAGCATATAATTACAGCACAGAGAGAGATCAGTTGGCCTGGTGGACAGAAAGTGATGCCCCAAGCCAAAGGTAGGTGACTGTAATCCATGGCCCTCAGGCCTGCCTTTAATTGTTTTTGGTGAAACATTCTTCTAGGTCATATAACCCTGGTATGTCCTCTTGCTATATAGAGGTAACTCGTGGTTGCTGTGAAGCTGAACACTGTAACTCTGATGTGTCAAATGCGAGAATGGTTACCCACAGTGGAGTGTTTGGTGGAGCTTCCTGATTAAAACAAGCTTGGAAGCAGGAGTGGCATCCACTTCCGTAACAGCTTGCCTCCTGAAACCCTGTGAACCTGGAGAAAGGATGAAAGTTTTAGAGGTGTCCAGGTCTTTCGTTCATAGGGTCGCTATGAATTGCTACAACTCGACAGCACTTAACAACAATATCGTATTGTTGTTGTTGTTGTTGTCTGCTACTTTTATGTCTTGGGTACTGCCTGTCTCTAAGGTGTGGAGATTTAGACTAGGCAACACTAAAGATGTGAAGGCTTCCTTGCTGGCCAGTCTTGTCCTCCTCTTCTCCCTGCCCTCTGCCTTGTTCCCCACATCTATCTATTGTCATGGAAAAGTTATGGGTTTCTTGCAATCATACTTGCAGTGGACTCTAGACACATTGTAGTTTACGTGGTACAGATGACGAAGCACTGTACTTACTGCTTGTTCCAAGGGAGTCCATTAGGACTCATCCGGAAGTGCCTTGAAAGAGAGAGTGACCTGATGATTTGCTTCCAAAAGGTCCTAGACTTGAAAATTCTCTGGAACAATTCTACTCCGTACACTTGAAACCACTAGGTGTAACAAGAACTAAAATAATCAGGTACATTTGGAAGCAGAGGAGGTGTTCGCCCAGCTGGGTGACCAAATCCTGGCCTGAAAGAAGCAGGCTCTCAGTCATGATAGTAATGCAGTGTGGTTCTCTCTCAGCTCTGAGTCTGTCAAAGATGTCCCTTCATCCCTTCCCCTCAGGAGTGTGGCTGTGAACAAGGGGAGGCTGAAGAGGCTGGGGATTACCCACATCCTGAATGCTGCTCATGGCACCGGTGTTTACACTGGTTCAGCCTTCTACACTGGCCTGGAGATCCAGTACCTGGGTGTGGAGGTAGACGACTTCCCTGAGGTGGACATCTCCCAGCACTTCCGAAAGGCTGCAGAGTTCCTTGACGAAGCCCTGCTGACCTACAGAGGTGAGCGAGACCTATCTGCTCCTGATGGTTAGAATTCCACAGGCAGGGGCAACAGGGGGGATATTTAGAAATACCTATACAACCTCCTGATTATCTGCTAGGTCTGGAAATTATCTTAAGGGTTTTTTTATCTTATTTTAAGAAGATAAAATATTATTATTCAACCAGTAAATATTTACTGAGGGTCTAACATGTCCTACAAGTCTGTAGGTGACACAAACAGTTTCATTTGATTGTTGTCACTGTGTACCGTAGAATCAGAACCGACCCATAGCTGACCCTCCAGTGGGTTTTCAGAGGGAGTTAATTGCTTGAGAGGAGATTGCCCACCCTTCTCCCTTCTCCCTTCTCCCACAGAGCAGCTAGTGGCCTCATCAAACCTCATGCCTTTGGGATTACTTTGCAGCTTCTTGCCACTAGGCCACCAGAGCATCATCTCTTATTTGACTACTAGCATAGAATTTGGTGATTCAAACTCACTCAGTGATACCATAGAAGAAAGGACTGGCAATCTGCGTCCACAAAGTTCACAGCCAAGAAGGCTACATAGAGCTGTTCTAATGATGTTGCCATTAGCTGGAATCCATTCAGTGGCAATGGATTTAGTTTGGTTTGGGATACACACCAAACACTGCTCTAGACACTGGAGTTACTATGGTAGAAGAGACTGACAAGACCCTGATCTTTGAATCTTACACTACAGTGAGAGGGAGGAAAAAAAAAAGAGCAAGAGGATTGTCAGATAATGAGAATGTGAAATAGTGATGCTAACTAGGTCAATGTGTTTGAGTGACTAAGTTGCTTCCTGGAAAGAGTGGTAGAGAAGGTCTCTCTGAAGAGCTGGTATTTAAAGGAGGAATAGTGTTGGTATATTTAAAGAATCAAAAGACTGGTGTGAATTAGTGTGGTGGATAAAGGTTAGAGTGGCAGGAGTCCAATCATACAGAAAGATACTCACCCATTCACTGCTGTGGAATCAGAAGCAACTTGAGCAGGACTTCAGAGGCTTTAAATCACATCCGAGGAGCTTGCCCGTCTTTCTCTCACAGAATGGCTGCTCTGCCTTTGTGTGGACAACATAACTCTCTAACTACTAGGCTACCAGAGCTCCGAATAGAAAGAAAAGGCCCAAGTAAAGAAGCCGAAAGGAGCCATGGGAAGACATTGGATGGACTGATTTAGTGTATCTTTTAGGAAGTTTGTTCTGTCTCCTGTGAATATTTTGGGTAGAAAGTTGAGAGTGGAAGTGGGGAGGGAAGTGCTGTGGCTATTGCTGTACTGCAGGTAAGAGATGATGGTGATTCATCTCCAGTTTACAAGGCAGAAGTCTCATTAGCCTATGCAAGGGGAGGAAAGACAGTTACACGTCCTGCTTTGCTCTGCTCTAACCATGTGACCTCAGACAATCTTCTCCATCCCTAGAAACCTCAGTTCCTCTATATGTAGAACAAAGATAAAAATACCTAGTCCTAAAATTGCTGTGGGGATTAAAAGAATAAATTGTGCATGAAGAGCTTCCCTGTCATAGCACCTGGTACAAAAGACATATTTAAGAAGTTACAGCTTTGCTCTCAAACCCAAACCAAACGCATTACCATTGAGTCGGCCCCCTAACCAATAGTGACCTTCTGTCAGGTTTCCAAAGCTGAAAATCTTAATGGAAGGACACTGCCCAACTGACTCTCCTGAGCCTCCTGTGCAGAGTATTATTTATCATCACCAAGAGCTTGAAAGAATAAGTTATACTTGAAAAAAAATGTTTAAAATTCTTTTCCCCCTCTCCATTGCTTATTGCTTATTGGAAGCAGGAGCGGCATCCACTTCCTAAATAACATTGCCTCCGGAAATTCTAGGAACCTTTGATAAATGTTGATAGTTGTAGAGGAGCTTTAGGCCTTTTGTTCATAGGATCGCTATGAGTCATGCTCGACTCGATGGCAATCAACAACAACAACCATTGCTTAAAAACAAAAATCCTTTTTAAGCAAATTACACAGACACATGCACAATAACGTTCACCATGGCCAAAAGGTGGAAACAACTTGAATACTCAACGAAAGAATGGACAAATAACATGTGGTCATACATAGTAGAGTATTACTCAGCCATGAAGAGAAATGAAATGCTAAGGGCTCTGCTGGCCTAGTGGATAGGTATGGAGTTGCCTGCTAACCCAAAGGCGAGTGGTTTGAATCTACCAGGTGCTGCTTTGGAGAAAATTGGGCAATCTCCTCCTTGGCAATTTATAGCTTCTGAAAAATCTTTTGGAGGGCTGTATTCATAATTTGTTCTTCTAAGATTAGTAGCAGCAGTTACAAGAAGTGCAGCGTCAACTGTGCCCTAAGTGTTTGATGTGCTGTACAGCCCCATGATCTCCATCACAACAGTCCCTCCTTTGTCCAGTTTCCTCACTACTCTATGTCCCTTGGGTTCAGTGGTTCACTAGAAGGTCTCCCAGAGACTCAGACCCATGAGAGGGTTTGCAGACCGGTTTTGCAGAGTGGTAAACATCATACACTGTCAGTTGCAGTGTAGCTGGAAAGCAGGTATCCTCAAAAAGAGTTAGCATTGAGGCTTATTATCTTACCCTAATCTTCTCTCCTTAGTATAAGTACTTCAGAACAAAACAAACAATTAATCCTTGGCTAGGAAAGACAGTTTAATGATTAACCTTTGACAACACAGAAGGCTCAACTATGAGTTGGTTCTGACTCAACAGCAATGAGGGAGACACACATGCCAGAACCTGGATGAACTTCCAAAACATTATGCTCAAATATTGTACAAGTTCACTTTAATGACCTATGTGGAATAGGCAAATCCCTCATGACAGAAAAGATTAGTGGATCCCTGGGGATAGGAAGAAGAAGAAAAAATGGGGATTGAAAAATAAATAAATAAAAGCAAGGACAGGGACAGGTAGAAGAAGTAAAACAATATGAACCATGCAATCACAGGGTTAATAAGAGAGAATAAATTGAGATTATTTAAGTGGCAGTAGTGTAAACGGGGAATAACCATGTTACAAGGTAGATAGATAGTTGTTCTTGCTGTGTGCTTTCAAGTTAGAGCTGACTCATAGCCGACCTTTAGTGGGATTTAAGGGGCAGTAAGTTGCACAGAAGGAGATTGCCTATTTTCTTTCCACTAAGCACCTACTGGATCTGAACCATTTGCCTTTGTGTTGGCAGCACAACTCTTTATCACCAAGCCACCAGAGCTACCTAGGCATATATATGTACACATCAACAGTATATTTTAATTTGATTTGACTGATGTCACCAACAGTTTTACTCCCTCCCATTATTTTTGCAACCATCAGTCAAATACCAACATGGTGAATGGCAAATAATGTTTTAGTGATGTTAGTTCTGATCGTATATGCTCCCTGAAAATATTTTGAGGTCCATAAGGGTCCACAGACTATATATTAAGAACCAGTATTCTAATTCAAGGAATGCTGGTGGCATAGTGGGTTATATAGTGGGCTGCTGAAGGCCACCAGTTCAAATTCATCATTTGCTCCACTAGAGAAGCAATCTAGATTGCATTAAGATGGACAGCCTCAGAAACCTGCTATGAGTAGGAATCAATGTGATGGCAGTGATTGGGGTTGTTGTTGTTGTTTTTGTTGTTGTTGTTGTTGTTGTTAGGTACCACCGAGTTGTGTATGACCCATAGCAACCTTGTGAACAACAGATCTAAATCTGTCCTATCATGTACCATCCTCACACTTCCTGACACATTAGAGCCTATGGCAGTCACCATGTCAATCCACCTGGTTGAGGGTCTTCCTCTCCTTCGATGACTCTCTGCCTTTCCGAGCATCATGTCCTGCTCCAAGGAATAGCCCCTCCTAGCAACATGCCCAAAGTATGTGAGGCAAATCTCTGTCTTCTTTACCTCCAAAGAGCATTCTGGCTGCATTTTCTCCGAGACATATTTGCTTGTCATATTTGGCAGTCCATGGGATGTTCAGTACTTTTATCCAACACCATAGCTCAAAGGAATAAATTTTTCTTCTGTCATCCCTATTCATTGTCCAGCTTTCAGATCATGATAAGTATTCAGAAAGACCATGGCCTGAATCAGACACATCTTAGTCCTCAAACTGACATCATTGTCAGAATTTGGAGAAGTCTCTACCTGTAGGCTTTCCCAATGTACTACATCTCCTTATTTCCTGACTGCTACTACCAAGGGTATTGATTGTGGGTCCAAGTAAGATGAAATTGGATTCAGGTTCATCTTAATTATGTATTATTTGTGATGTCAAAGATGCAGTGTTAATCATAAATCCTAGGCTTTCTCACTCTCTGGTTAATATGCTCATCTGCTGATCAAAAATTAGTGGTTTTAATCCACCCAAAGGAATCTTGAGGGTGTAGTGGAGAAATGCCTTGAAATCTGCTTCTGAAAACCCAATTTTCAGTAGAACACAGTTCAACTTGGACACACATGAAGTCTCATGAACTGAAGTCCACCAGATGGCAATTGGCTTGGAGTCAATTGTATCAGATGGGTTGACTGAGCCATTTTCAGCCTTCCAGCTTTACAGATATTATTAAAGTGATCCAAACAAACACTTTGGTTAGTATCTCTTATGTCAAGGAACATGGATCTGGTCATCTTCCTTGACTTCTTCTTGGGTCCATGACATGTGTGCTTTGATGGTAGAAGCCATTTGTGAAGCTCTACGAGCCTAACACCTTTATCTCTAATACCTGCACTATATGTAGTTCTGTTGCAGTACTTTCGCGTCTTCATTAGAAATATACAGGGTTTGTTTGCTTAAGTTACAAGTAGTTGGGACTGTAACCTGAATTGTCCAAAACAGGAAGAAGAGTGAGAAAGACAGTAGCCTCTTCCCATTAATATTTTCAGCTTCTAAAGGCCACTATGCAACAGACTTGACTTGATGGCAGGCAGTATATAACTGAGTAATAAAGCCTGGATCAACATGACCTACAGAATAAATGGGACAATTAATTATTTAGCAA